GAGGCCTGGCCGTGCGGGCCACAGGCCCCGGGCGCGCCCCAGCGCACTGCCGCCTCTCAACCAAGGCGCCGGCGAGGAGGGTAAGAAGCCGTTTCTGGGCTCACCCAGCGGGAGACAGGCATGCACAGATTAATTTTCTTGGCTTTGATTCTCACTGAGGTGTAGTAGCGAGAAACCACAGAAAAATCAGGCTTTTTACCAAATAATGAAAACACCTGCATTCTCTGCCCACTTGAGGTTGCTGATGAAGTTTGCAGGCAGCCCTAGTCTAATAGTCATTGCCTAGCAAATCAGCTGCAATTATATGGGTCCGTTTGCCTGAGGACCTAGGCATGCAGGATTGCTCACGCAGCACCTGTGTGACGAGCAATATGCTGGAAGGTAAGACAGAAAAACAGGCTAGAGATACTTAAGCGGTCATAGCTAAGCTACTCCACCAGTTTACTTCCAGTGATGGAAGTCAGCACGGCAGTTGCAACTCCTGACTCGCAGAGCTGGCATTGTGTAACAGCAGAGGAGCACAGTTAGTTATGCACCCTATCAACAGGTCTGTTTGTAATACTACCCAATTTAGACATTGCTTTCTGAGGACTGTTAAATTTAAGAGCTCCTGTGGTACATTTAGTAAGTGCAGAAACAGAACAGGAAAGTGATGAGACAAGTTTACAACAGTTATTCCTTATTTAAATTATTTTACTCTGTTAATCATCATCTGCAGAGATTCTTCTCATCCATATTTGTTCCTCTGCATATCCAAGTCATCTAACTTATGTGCTTTTTGGCCATTTGGCATCACAACCACCTGACAGGAGGCTGCAGCTTTTTGCATTACAGGGTTTATGGTCCATTTTTGGTGTAAAGAATGTGTCAAGAAACATGACAAGACACAGCCTTTGACATGTTTAAATATGTATTTTGTAGAATCACTTTATGTATGAGGCAGTAGTTTGATTACGAAGCTGCATCCTGATATATCCACACAGTCTACTGTATTATCAACACAAGACATCTTGAGAGAATCTTGAACACATTAAACAGTTCTGTATTGCCATGCAGAATGTGGTCCTTTTTCAGTTTATTAAACACTACCAGCTTAAGAGTATGCTGCCTCTTTGGCACACCTAGTTTAGGGCAATCAGTGACTACAGTGTGAAACCTCTAATACTCAGTTTTGCTGCCATCCATATAAAGTGTTGTCATTTTTGAACTGCAGTGTGCCACATAATCACTATCCAGTCCATGCTGTCTGTGATATCTTACAAGAGGCTGCTGCAGTGGACAAGGAAGAAAAGCTCCAACAGAAGAGTTCAGAATCAGCATTTGAAGACAAAAATCTCATCAAGAGATCATGAAGTTTAACAGCTTTCTGCTACAGGAGGTTAAAAACCAAAAACCTAACAAGTGTAAAAAAAAAAAATTTATATAGATACCAGGAATTTCCAGAGCTACGAATGACAAGTCATTAACCATAGGATGCCTCAGTTCTAGTGAGCAGAAGACATAATAAAGAGGCAGAACATACCACAACCTACTATTCCACAAGTCCTCCTCTATTTTCTGTAACAGGCTGCCAGTGTTACAGGTGTACCCGTTATGGAATAGCCACTGTGCTAGCTGGACCTTGATCCAATTCCCTGCAGCATTCTTATTCCCATACCTCATGGTCACCTTCGTAGACATGAAGGAGAAATTTAAGAATGAGCTGCAGGACTGTAGCAAGTAGCAGTCAGCTTGTTTGCTCCTCAGTGGAATTAACTAAAATCATGCAGAGAGGACAATGTACCCAGGTAAATGCTGAAAGGTTTGTGTTAAAAATAAGAGTGCAGTGAGCAGTATATTTCAGGAGGCCGACACCTCTGCTAGTTTCATACTTCAACACACTGCAGGCATTTGCCTACATTATACCACTTTTCAAATGGCAGGAAGTTAAGCAACTAGCTCAAGTCCACAGTACAGCTCAGCACAGCTGTTTAGAAATCTCAAACTTTTCCTAGATCCACATTCTAGCAGTTAATCATAGTTCCAGGTTATACAATGTTATTCTATTATTATCCCCTTAATTCAGCCTCAGACTCTAGCACTAAACCAGCAAGTATTTTCTGAAGAGTTTGTGAGAGTAAACAGTGGTTTTGCGAAGTAATTTTTTGTGCTATTTTTCATGTCAGGTAGGAATGGCCAAAGTTTGGGCTAACAGAAAAGTAAACATATGGAGCCTCATTTCTTCCACTTCCAAAACTAAGCTTACTTTATTTAAAAAGCAGCAGCAGGTGATAGGTGATACTGCTACAGCATTGAACTTCTGCCTTTGTGTTGAGTGTGCAGTCTCCTTTTAGTGATTGCATGAACTATTTATTGAAACATTAAGAAGCAGAATGAAAATAAACACTGATCTAGACCTTAAGGTAATCAAAAGATTATCTGAAGAAGCTGAAGTGGAGTAACCACAGTCATACAATTAAAGGTCCTCAAATGATACCATCAAAAACTTCCTCAGGGCATTAGAGCTATCTAGCATTCCTCCTCCCTCACAGAGGGCAAAAGATACAGCACAACTTCAGAAACAGGGTGTGTTTCATCAGCCAACAAGCATGCTCTAGCTCATACAACCTGCTGTGGGCAAAGCAGGAGAAATGATTACCATCTAGTTTGGCAAATATTTATTCAGTACCAAATATCAAGGGAATAGTCTTGGACCTGGCAGACCACCATCATAATCAACAATCACTGCAATTCAGCTGGTAAGAGAGCCAAATCTCGCAATCACCTCCATGGGAGGTACACATGGACTACAGGGGAGAACGTGCACTGTAAGCAACTCTTATCCAGCCAGTCCTGAGTAAGCTTACCCTTAACACAGGGTTTTCCCATGACAAAGGCTTTCAGCCTTGTTTACCCTAGTGATTCCAGGATTTCTGGTGTTTATGAACAGACCCTGTTCTGGCCCACGGATGGAATTCTAATATGGCAGGCCACAGAAGCTCTTAAATAATTCTGTTCCCAATACAGACAAGTGAAAACTTCCCCTCTCTTGTCACCACGGAGACTACAGTCTGCTATAGCACTCCAGCTTCAAGACAACGGCCTCTAATAGCCCCTAACAGTAGTATGAATGCTATCATTCCAAATACTGCATTTGCCTAGGATTTGACCAAGCACAGAGTCACATGACGTCAGATGGAAGTGTAAAGTGACTCGTACACATATGACTGTAGTCATTATACAAAGAGCCAGTGGACAAAAAACCAAGGATTCTTCTTGGAACATCCTAGGCTGAAGCTGAACAAACCACACCTTCTCGCTTTTGTAGAGTCCTTCTACCTCCTTTGTAGATAGCTCTGGTTGTCTCCCAGAAGAAGAAAAAAAAAAAACAAAACAAAAACCAAAACAGCAAGAGTCCAACACAACTCCTGTCTTATGAAAACAAGGTAGGATACAGGTGCCGATGACTGGTAAAGAATTATGACAACTTCTTAGCAGGGCACCAAATAGTGTCAGGATAGAGCAGACAATGGACAGATTTAAATCTGTGAAAGGAAAAAAAAAAATTAGATTGGAATTCTCCATAAAAGGAATGTAGTAACATTGAATGTGCAGCAGTCCAATAGAGCAGAGAGGGTGGGTCCACCTGCCTTGAGCACAGCAATGAGCTGACATGAGAAAATAACCCCATTAGTGGGTTTGATCATCTTACAGTTGATAAACATGAACAAGGCAGGGAGATCTTGTTTAGGAAGTGGACACTTACCGGGTTGGATCTTGCTGAAGGCCAAACACTCCTCCCACACTCACAACATTGTGTTTGTTCTCCGGGTCTCCGTAACTTAGGGTTACCTGTAAAAGCACGTAAATGTTCAGAAATTGTAACACTAATGCAGAAAAACAGAGTTGGGATAGCAGGATTGTTAATGAGGTATGAAAAAAAGACTCCAAGGATCCTGTCTAATCTGAACAGTGGATGACATTTGAAAAAACATTGGTTAGTTTTGACATAAGCAATATTGGCACTGAATGGTAGCTATCAAATGGACCACCACTGCTCATCTAAAGGCAACGTGGGAGAATAAACAAAGGAGCGGAAAGCTGCATTGCCCTGAAGGACATGATGTGTTACAACTGTAAGCTTTGTAAGGGCATTAATCCTGCTAAAGTCTGTACCTTCACTAAATAACATATGTTCATCCTCACCAGACACTGCCTGAAGTTTGCAATAGTAGTGTCTTAGCACAGAGGGAGAACAGAAACATTTGGGTATTAAATGGCATGCAAAAGACTGCCATATAACAAAACCAGCAACAAAATTTAGATCTCTGGAACTCCAACTCAGTGCTATTCTTCCACAAAAGCGCTGTATTAAGAAGTTTTCAGGTGCCAGGTAGAAGACGACTTATATTTTCTTTCTAATTGTAGATTTCCTGGATTTTGGGTTAGCTGTTACAGTCTCAGGGAAACAATGATCACCAATGAAAGGCTGTATTCAGTCTAAAGTTAAATTCACTAACTTGAAGGAGGTTACCTCACGCTGGAATTTGGCCCCAAGTGTACATTTCTGCTGGTTAATACAATTGCCAGGAAAATATAACCAAGCAGTTTGTAGGGACAAAACCGCACTCTTGTTTTTTCATGGTGCCAAACAGCAAGAGGTGGACAAAGCTTCTGGATAGCCTTATAGCTCCATCTACTGCCCATGAGTAAAAACGTACTCCAGCAATTAAAAATAAAATACTTGATTTTTCACAGGAAACATTAAGTTTGTTGAGATTCAGACTCGATCGAACATTTAACTGTCTTAGTTATTGAAGAGGTACTTGCTATAGCTGCGACACTGCTCTTTTTGAACAGCATGAACTAAGACCGAGACTTTGTTAGACAAAGATAGAAATACTTTCTTACATGGCAGGCAAACTAAACACTGCCTCCTTCTAGACTTGCTGCTACTGTGACTCATGGAAAGTCAGAGTTTAGAAGAAGATGAGGAACACCATATTTAGGCTTAATGTAGCAGGATGTGTCCCCAAAGGAGGGGACAGCTACATGACCTAATTGGCTAGGGTGAAAGTATGCTTTTTACCTAGATGAAGGAATTGAACAGAACACAGCTCTGAGCGAGTCTGTAGACGTTCTTCTTTGCTGAAGAGTGCTACGTCTATGGAGAGTACTCTTTCTGATCAGACTGAGGTGTAATTATGAGAACAGGACATGAGGCTTAGCCCTACCTGCTGCAGCACAGACTCGCCTTGTAGCCTCTGCAGATTTTCCAGATGGGAATGGAACAACGGGCTGTGCAGTAGCTTTACCTCCAGCAGCCCTTCAATGATGTAGCCAATAGTGCAGTCGTCAGGAAGACGCACTCTTTCTGCAGTACTGATGAAATTACCCAGGCTGTGAGACAGAGCACAGGAGACAAGATGAAATATGCTTTAAAGCCTGCCAAACACATATTGATGGAGCTCAGCTAGAGACAGTGTTTACCTGGCCCAGGGACTCATCTTTAGGGCAAGACCTCTGCTGATACAGAACCCTGCTCCACCTGTGGCAAACCAGAATTTCACGGTTGTCTTCTGAAGAGCAACAAGAAAAATACACAGTAGTTACCGATAATCAGCTTTTTCCATTTGGCTGGGCAGGGAAGGGAACTTGAGGTTCTATTGGATATCACATACTGCCCTTGAGTCAGAACAAGACTACAGATTAATTCCTATTTCTTTAGGCTGCTGAAAGCCCAGCTAGCTGCTCTCTCAAATCAAACTCTATCCTGGAACCGACAGCAGGTGAACCATCAAGTTAGCACAACTGAGGTAGCATACATGAAATGGGAAACTATAGTCCCACTCCTAACCAATTCCATCTGTTCCCATGTCATTCTAGCCAAGGGTCACAGCCAGCACAGTGTTCCTGAGGAAATTAAATGTGGTCCATTAGTCACTTGGCTCCATGTCCAAGGAGACTATTTTGTTGTGCAGAGTCTTCCCTAACAAGCTCCTTTCTAACTGACTTTCTGGCCAGTGGATCGGTTTATCTTTAGGCCTGTCAGTACAGGCGACTTGGAGAAGACTTGTCCTTTAGTACATGTATCTTGTGACTGAGATATGTTTACTTCCACTTCTTAGAAACCATTCAATATTGGAAATGCCTTATACACGCAGAGAGCCTTTGTCACCCATCTGAGGTTGGTTCAGATGATGACAATGTGATACTGCCCTCAAAACAAACAAGAAAGCCCAAACCCCAAAACCCTAGAACAAGGAACACTGCCCCCAGAACAACTAAAGGAAAAGAAAGAGTCAAGATGGGGAAGCCCTACTCACATCAGTGCAAGGGATGATCACCAACATACGTGAGTAAAGGAAGAGAAACAGACATGCACGCGAGATCAGATCAAAGGTTCATTTAACCCAGCACCCTGTCTCTGAAAATGACCAGTGCGAGGTTCATTGCTTGCAGATTAAATCACTTGTTTTTATGGGGGAATCCTATGAACTCTCAAGGTTTTAAAAGCTTAAAGGTCAGGACGTCTCTCAGACTTAGGTTTTAAAAGCTTAGAATGTCAGGATGTTTCTCAGACTAACTGCAAAGTTTACTTACTGATCCATCACTTTGGACATGGTCAGCTGCTTCAATGGGATGGTCCAGACTCGGTCGCCCCACATAGACATCCTGGCTGTGTGAGAAGGCAGATAAAAGACGCAGGAGCGTCTGAGGGTTCACATAGTTGTCATCATCCACATGGCAAAACCACCTTCAAACAAAACAAAATAAAGAAGTTACTGCAGAGCACTGACAAAGAAATGAGTTATAGATTTACAGCTGAGTCTTAGTCCTTCAGGCTTGGAGCAGGAAGTATTTCCCATTGTCCTGAATTACAGGATTTGGAAGCTGAAAGCATCCACAGAGCCTCATTCTGGAAAGAGGCTGAAATTAATAACGCCCTTTCGATTACCATCCTTTCCATCTTTCAGATGATGCTTGTTTATAAAGACTGCTTCATGTTGTGCTCCCTTCCCCATGCTCATCACCACGTTTTAGCTAATACTCCATTCCTTACTGGAACAGAAAAGGTTACTCAAGTTTCCTCTGAACACAGAGCTGGAAGAAACAAAGTCAATCAGAACAACGTGTTTCACCTACTTTTGCCCAGATTCCAGGAATTTATCATATTCCACAGACATCTTGCAGCAGAGAGCTTGCCGGGTATGGACAGCAGAACAGTTGGTGTTGATCATATGATCCCCTAGAAAAATAAAGATCAGTCCTTTCAGGTTTGAGAAGCATGTGTAGTCCAAAAAAAGACTACAAAAGAAGTGCACATTTGGCACTAATACTGTACATCTGAAGTGCATATGGTGCACACATGGAGAGCAAAGTGCAGGGCAGGCAGGGCTCATGGGTTATGTATACGGCATGCAAGCTGTAGAGTACATAAAAATGTGTTGAGTGCAGGGTATATAAATAGTGCCATGAGACTGTATGAAAAGGAAATACCTAATATAACTTTGGACCAGATAGACTGAAGCTTACTAACAGGAAGGAAGTGGGTGCAAAGGCAAACCCAGTATTCAGGAAGTTCCAGGCATCTTGTCCAGGTAGTAAGTAGGAACAGCTTATTCTCCTGTGAAAGGAGAAGTTTTCTCCATCTTAACTTCCCTAATTGCTTGTACAGCATGAAATAAGGACTTCTGGGGAAAGTGTGACAGAAACAAAAGTCAGTTATAACAGACAGCATGCACCTATGCTCCACAGCTTACCTGCTTTCAGACGTAGCTCCTGATCCTCCCAGTCTGTGAATATAAATGTCTGTGGGAGACAAAAAAACACTATGTGTACATTTGAGAATTTCAGAAGCTAATTTCAATTTTGCTCTGCTGCAGTCATAATTCTGAACATTTTGTCGTTAGTTTATTTCACAGTAGCTGTTTGGAGTGGGCTGGGGAGCGGTGGTGAAGTGAACTGCAGCAACCTCAGCCCTTGCTGTATTTGCATTGCAAACCAGAAGAGTTTCATTTCAGTAAAGCATCCAAGATTTTACCCTCCTCATCTCAGTGTACAGACAA